TCCATAATGGTTTTATCACTCCTTCCTGTTCTCTGCATGGAGCTCTGGTACTGTTTGTCAAGAAGAAGACTGGTGAACTTAGACTCTGTAGATTATTGTGGACTTAATAAAATCTCTAAAAAAGACTATTGCCCTCTGCCCCTTATTTCTAACCTCCTCAACTCCATGCATTCTGCTTGTCTCTACACCAAGCTAGACCTTTGTCATGCCTACCATCTTGTCTGCATAGCTGAGGGTGATGAATGGAAAACTGCTTTTCAGATCCACTATGGTTTCTTCAAATAGTGTGTCATGCCATTTGGACTCACCAATGACTTTGTCAACAACATCTTCTCTGACATGCTCAATGTATCCATTGTCGTATACCTCAATGACATTGTTATCTACTCTGACAATCCCAAGGAACACTGAAAACACATATGTGAAGTCCTATGCAGATTCCAAGCCAATGGCCTCTACTGCAAGGGTTCAAAGTGCAAATTTCATCAGGATTCCCTTAAATATCTTGGTTATATCTTCTCACCCAAACGCTTACACATGTTCAAAGACAAGGTCAAAGCTATTACTGACTGGCCAGTCCTGCAGAAGGTCAAGGATATTCAATCCTTCCTTGGCTTCACTAATTTCTACTGCTGTTTCATTCACAAGTACAGTGAGATCATCCTGCCCTTAACATGACTCACTCACAAGGGTACTCCATGGAAATTTGATGATGAATACCTATCCGCTTTCAACAAGTTAAAACAGGCTTTCACTCATGCACCTATCCTTACCCACTGGCTTCCCAACTGCTAATTTGTTGTGGAAACTGATGCTTCTGACTATGCTATTGCCACCATCCTATTCATCTACCTTGATGACGGCAAGATTCAACCAATCTCCTTCTTGTCCTGCAGTCTCCATGGCACCAAACTCAACTACAATATGCATGATAAAGAGCTTCTAGCTATTTTCAAGCTTTTAAATATTGGTGCCATTACCTCGAAGGCTCCGTGAAAGCCATTGAAGAGGCTGGCTGTGGGCACCTGTGGAATAGTGAGCAGGCTAAAAGGTGAACCTCAAAAACCCACACACACACTCACACAACTACACAAACTACAATCACTCTCATAAATTCTAGAGGGAGCGATTATTTCTAATGTGATCTGACTATACTTCAATATCTTGAAGAGTTTCTCTTATTCTCAGTGCTCTTAGTGAAGCTAAGCTTTCTCTAATGAATCCCTAAGTCTAGGAACTTTTACAGGAAGGTCGTTCACTGGCACAACGCAACCTTCAAGGCAGATTTGAGTTATAATACACAAGGGACACTGATCCCAACAGAAACAGAGGCAATACATGCCGAAACTTCAGTGAGCTCACTAAAAGAACATCACAGGCAAGCACTGACTTAGCCCACTCACTACACAACTGTATGTAGGGGTTCTCCAACTAACTTCAACAGATGATCTCGACTCAAGAACACTTCAGAAGTGCTTGGAAACAGATTCAGAAAATGGAAACTCGAAACAGAACTGATGCAGAACAGACTGAACAGAACCAGAACAGAACAGATCTCACTTTTCCTCTTCAGAACATACTCCGAACAGACTTATCAACACTCAATGGAACAGAACAGCTTCACTGATTCTTATTCTCTTGGAACTAAGTGCACAAAAAGTCTTTTCTCAAGGGTATCTCATATTTCTCTGAGTGAGCTCGCTAACTCTATGCAAAGCTTGAAGTCACAAACTGATCCTTTGTTACAGTACCACCTTCAACATGTGTATGGGAACTCGGGGGCTCAAAACTTGGCTTCTACCTACTGTAACCAGCCTACTTATACTACAGGGGAATTAGAATTACAAACGTCATGCAGTACCCAGACTCCTACATGTATAGCATGTTGCCACCACCACCTTACTGAGCATCTGGGTCGGACTTCCCAGTTTTAGTCTCATTTCTATAGTGAGCTCACTAAATGCATGCCAAGAGGTGCTCTCCCGACACCCACGGGCTTGTTCTCTAGCGACCAACAGGTCTAGGTGCACAGAAATATCAGTCCTGGCATATGTTGTTCAAGACTTCTTTCTTGGATTCACAGAGGCTTCTTGTAGACATGGCAACAAGTGAGTCTTCTAACAATGGGATGTGGGCTCGCAGACTTCAGCCGAAGCCTATTGCCCAAGTTTGTGCCAGTGATATCTGTCATCTCGCTTAAGGATTTCCCCCAATTTTCAGGTATGACGTGTCACAGTTAGTGAGCACGCTATGTATTCTCAGTGTCACTGCAATCTTCAAGGTTTTATCTAGCTCCTACAAGCATGCTTGTAAGTTAGAGCCTAAGGCATTGGGTATAGGGTTTGGCCTTCTCATCATGCATGCCTGTCAGGTATAGTGCTGTGACTAAGTCCTGTTTAGAATCCCATTGCTTCTTATGCCATAAGTTATATTCCATATCATTGCACTGTGTAGCATTAGTGTTGATGCATAGTTTTAGTCCGCTTGCTCACTATATCTCAGTATGCGTGTAAAACACGTTAGATTGCAAAATTTCATGCGTAAATAGGCTGCAGTCGCAACACCGTTGATGAGCCTAAACTTCCATGGCAATAGCAAAAACCAAAACTCTAGAAGAGTTCATGGCAAATGGCTTGTAGCAGCAATAAAGGCTTTAGTTGTTGTGTGAGTGTTTCAGTGCACCTCCGTGCAATGAATTCCTCAAGAACACAAGTATACACTGCGACTTTTCAGTCAGCGAAGTAGTACCCTTAATGAACAAGTACTAGAAAGTGTTGGCTGTAAGCCGGGAAAGGTCTTGATGTACAAGAAGGAACAGAATCCAGTATAACTGGGAATACTGGCAAACTGTGAATGAAGTGGTGGCAATTAACTAGTAAATGCCATTGGCAATGTTGGTGGAATTAGAGAAAATGCCATCAAAGGGAAATACCAGCAAGATAACAAATACCATGATGGCAATAGATGAAGACTGTAGTCAAGAAACTGGCAGTAAAATGAAGAGAGACTGGCTGGCAGAAATATGAAGAGAAAGCTAGTGGCGGTGATGTGCTCAATAATGACAAGTGACAAAAGGCTGATGAATGGATATGAGCACCACAACACCAAAACCTCCTACTACTCTACACAAATCACCAAATATATTGAGCTTAGGATGTTTCGAGTACAATAGAAGCACTCTACAGACTTCAATAATCAAGGGAAGTTGTGATAGAGACGTTTATTTGTTACTAGTGAGCTATACAAAAGTACTACTCGCACTAGTGAGGTTGTTAAGACACAATTGAATGAAATAGTGACTTGTTTGGAGCTACTGCACTCGCTCTGACTGAAACTGCTTTGAAACTAGTGGCTCTCTTGGCTCTATACTGCTTCCTACAAGTGATAGACACTTGACTAGTTGCTCTCTCAGCTGACTAGTGGCACTCTGGGCCTAAGAATAATACTTTAAACTTTGAGAACTTGCTTAAACTAACTTTGAAACACTCTGGGCCTATGCAGGATGCAACAGTGGACTCTAACACACTTCTATTCACTCAATACTATGGGATAACTCAGCGACTAGTCACCGCTTTGTTGAGGTTAAGCATAAAAGCCTTTAATTGGGGCACTAGTTACTGACTAGTAGATCACAATCATGGGGATGGCTTGCCTGCCTGCACATGCACCTACTCTACTACTTATATGCTGACTAGTAAGGTACAATTGAAGTATAAATAAACTGGATAAAGGGGTATTATTGATAAGAATTTCTTGGCTAGTCATGAGTAAATGGTGAATAATCATGCAATAAGGCAGTCTAGAGGTAGTTTCTTGCTTACTAGTGAGCCCAGGAACTCCACAAGTGGTCCTGCTTCTGCATCCCTCAGCCCAACAGTGCTCCACTAGTGTCATAGAATAAGCTCCTGAGTCCAGCAGTTCATGCCTGTAGCAGCTGTTTGATCATGATCAAAGGTGGAGCCCTGCTATACTAGTGCCAATCATAATAGATCTCAATTGCACTAGGTCAGATCTAGGCTGCTTTGCTTCTTTTGCTAGTTCATCTCTAAGTCCCATTAGAGACTGCCACATGACTAGTCGACCCGTCTTAGGCAGTCTTGGCTTGACTAGTAGCTTCCTGGCCTGACTATCAGCTTGAAGCCTCTGCTATAGTCTTCTAGTTATGACTAGTCTGGGATAGATATACATTAGTATTACTACAAAATCGCAAAATCAAGGTGTGAACACATGGCTAGTGTATCAGCAGCAAAACAATGACTGATACTGGGCAAGGCTGAGACTAAAACTGGGCTGAGGTTAACTGTGGTAAAATGAAACTGATCCTGATCCTGAGTCTGCAGACCAGGCTTACTGGAATGTGTGAGGTGTTGTGTCGCATGTCACCAGTGTATGCTGTTGCACTGCATCAAGGTATGGTTATTGCTTTTCGAGGTCAAGTTGAATTAACTTTTTGATGTAGCATTGGACTGGATAGTACTTCAAGAAGAAGAGCCTCAAAAAGCTGGGATTATGCATACAGCTGGGTCACACTGATGACCTGCATCAACCCCTAATAGGCATCTGAAGATTTCACTGTCTTACATCTGAATGGCATCCATAAAGTGGCAGTCAACTTCTGTGGATGTGAATTCCATACTCCTTTTTGAGTCCAATGCTTGCAGTTTCTCTGGTATCTGGTGACAGTGCACAGACCACAGATGTGTGCTTTGTTAGCCTTGTTGAAACATTTTCATATGCAAACACTTGCTGAAAAGATATTGGCTTATGAATACTATTGCAGTCTGTGCCATGCCACAGATAATACAGAGATAACACTACCCAAGGTGCATCTTTGCCATGAATAGCTGGCAATATGAATCTGACAAATAACATAGACACAATATTGTTTCTTCTTCTGCATGAGCTGGCAATATTATCATCTGCAGCTGATGAAGCATGCTGGATGTGGGCACATCTGCGATGGAATCAAAATGATGGGACTGGATGCTCTTGCTATCTGATGTCTTGCTTGTCCTCATCCAGGAGTGAATTTTCCAGATGGATGGAAAAATGCCTCACAGGAGAAAAAGTTCATAGCAATTCTTTGTGTACTTGGGAGACAGATCTCATCATCAGAAGCAGGTATATTGAGCAATTGGTAGTAGCTCTTGATGCAAATTTCAGAATGTGTAGCTGGGATAAGTCTGACAATGTCAAGGATCCTGGTTTGCACACTGGCAAGGTGTACTTTGTGGAGCATGATGGATATTTGACTCACATGCAAAAATACATGACCCAAAAAGATGTGAGTCTCCAACCTGGATATGCTTGGCAATGGAGCTGATTGTGATGCTAGATCAGTAGCTGTAGTGGTTTCCAAACTTTAGCACATGCAGAAAGCAAGAATAACAAAGGTCTACATGTGACAGGCATTGGCATATGTGTGTGTGCGTGACATGAAATGGTTCTCCCTTTGGCTGTTGGAGATCTATAGATAGGAGAAAGGTATGAGTTTCTTGGAAAGATATCAATGTGGCACTGACTATAACACCAGGTATTGTAATATAGATTACATCACTGGTTCAGCTCTGAAATGCTATGATGAGTGCCCAGAGGTTTTTTTTTCATATGATATCGCCTGTCAGTGAAAGAAGAACCTTCATGATTGGATGAAGAAGATGTCTGCCAAAGCACAGATAAGGCTGAACCTGGTACTTGATTTCAGGGTGCCAAAGCTGCACTACAAAGGGCACAAGTATGCATGTCAGTGCCAATTCTCAATGAATTTAAAACCAGGAGTTGGCCAGACTGATGGAGAGGGAATTGAACATACTTGGGATGATATTAATCTGTGTGCTTCTTCCATTGTTGGAATTATTGCAGTGGGAGGCTTGCAGTAGGAATAATACCTAATTGTTAGCTACTAGAGCTCCTAATGAGCTCTTTATATACTACGAAAAATATCTAGAATATTCTACCTAAAGTACTAAATATATCCAAGTATTGTGACAAATGAGTAAGCCGAAGCTTCGGGAATCTTCTAGTACAAGCTTGAAGTTGTAAATCCCAACATCCATAAAGGAGATAGGGCCAGGAGCAGGACACAATACTATAGATGACCAGTTCAGCAGTCATAACTGGAGGAAAACTGTATGGTTAGGTGAGTGAAGTTTGCATTTGGTTTGGAGGCATGGTGCTTATGATTATGTTTTCCTAGGCATGCTTTTGCATGAGAGATTGGCAGTCACTATCAGGCAGGCTGCTCATCAAGCAGAGATGTATACTCTATTCATGGAGGCTTTACCATCAGACTATAACTATATGCAGGAGTGGTTAAAACAGGTGGTAGCATGGAAACAAAATTCAGAGGTGCAGAATCCTTATTTTTGGGAGGTCAAACATATGTTTGGCACCAACTTGGCTATAGTTGAAGTTTACAATTTGTTTCAAATGTCTTGGAGGCAGTTGTAAAACTGTGGCTGAAGGAAAAGGATCATCAGGCAGCAGCAAAGGGAGCTGTGGCTCTACACACATGTGGACCAGGTGCAGCAGTAGGCATAGGCCTGCTGATTGAAGAATCACAGTGAGTGTGCTTGTTACTGTCTGGCTGCAGGTAACTGATTTAGTCTGTGATAAGATGACAGCTGTTACAGGATTATAAGGATACTGCTGAGGATCCATTATCAGTTTCTGACTATCAAAATTTACAACACCATCAGACAACACTGAGAAGACAATTAGTGCAGTTCAGGGAGATGCAGGCTGCATACATGCCTTGCATTGTGCCGTTGATCAAGGAGGCACCCATATGTGTCAAGGATTTATTGGATATTGAACATGAACAGCTGTGGATGCTGTCTGCATTGACACTGCTGCAATGGTCAGAGGGATGCAAGGCAGGTGTGGATTCAATAGAGAAGCAGTTACAGGAGGCTCAGTGCCTCAATGCACTCAATACAATAAGAGAAATCACATGATCTCAGTGGGCTTTGTGGGCATATCATGATGCCAACATGTGTGGTCAGGTTCATATGACCAGTGCAGTGAGTTTTATGGAACGTCTGCAGCATCAATTGGACATGGCCATGGTGAAGTACAATGCTGCTCATGCTGTATTGCTGAAACTATGGGGAATGGGTGATTGGGAGAAGACATTGAAAGTGCTTAGAACAGCTGATGTGACAAATATGAAGGGGGTGGTTTTCAGCATTGACAACAACAAGGAGTCTGAACAACATTGAAAGAAAAGGAAGACACTGCCACAGCAAGTCATGGGCACAGCTGAAGATTATCGAACAGTTTCATGGATATCACTGCTGTGATGTACCAGTCTTTTGGTCCAAAATTCTGTGCAAAAAAACCAGTACAGTTTTTATACAAGTCTTTAGTCTAAGATTTTTTGGTCTCGAATGCATTAACAAAAAGAGCTAATTTTTGTATCAGTCTTTTTATGAATCTTTTAAAATGGTTTTATACTCCCAAAGACCTATATAAATACATCTAGGCTTTGTCTTAATCTTTTGGTTGGTTTTTCGCTGCAAAAAGACACCAGATCTTTCGGACTAGTTTTTGGTTAGATCTTAGATTTGATCTTTGGTAAGGAAACACATGTGAAAAAACCCTGATCTTATGACAGGTCTTTGGACTGGTCTTTGGATCAGTTTTTGGATGCAGTCTTTCGGTTCCAACATGTGGACCAAAAAACAAAGGAAAGACCACCAATTTTTGGTTTGGTCTTTCTGTCCAAAAGACCAGGTGAGTCACAAAGTGATGCACCTTCAAGTCACTCAGTGACATGCCCTCGAGTCACAGGTGAGGCGCTCTTGATTCCAGACACTCTCCCCGCCTCCCAGTCACTGTTGATCACTTTGTGACTCACCTGGTCTTTTGGACAGAAAGACCAAACCAAAAATGGGTGGTCTTTCCTTTGTTTTTTGGTCCACATGTTGGAACCGAAAGACCACATCCAAAAACTGATCCAAAGACCAGTCCAAAGACCTGTCATAAGATCAGGGTTTTTTCACACGTGTTTCCTTACCAAAGATCAAATCTAAGATCTAACCAAAGATCAGTCTGAAAGATCTGGTGTCTTTTTGCAGCGAAAAACCAACCAAAAGATTGAGACAAAGCCTAGATGTATTTATATAGGTCTTTGGGAGTATAAAACCATTTTAAAAGATTTATAAAAAGACTGATACAAAAATTAGCTCTTTTTGTTAATGCATTTGGGGTCAAAAAATCTTAGACTAAAGACTTGTATAAAAACTGTACTGGTTTTTTTGCACAGAATTTTGGACCAAAAGACCGGTACATCACAGCAGTGTATGGATCATGGAAGGCACATTCAATAAGGCAGACAAGAAGGAGATGAAAGGTAGTATGTTGTTTTTTGGTGACTGCCACAGATGTATATGCTGATATGTCAGTTTCTCAGTTCATGTTGAATGATTGAAGAGCTGGGCACATGTAGAATATGGGCACAAACAGGTGGCTACAGTGAAGGCTGAGATAGATTGATCACTGATATCTCTGGAATACCATGCAAAACAATGGGAGTCCCTATGCATTGAATGCAGGAGTCTCGGTGGATCAGACCAATTAGCAGAAGGCAGAGACTTACCATGCATTGGGAGATTCTTTCAAGTTAATGTGGAGTCAGCCTTGGGTGGAAAGCAGACGACTGGCATGGAATGTGGATGAGGCTGCAGCATTAGAGGAAGAGGATGAAACAGCAGCTGATACTGCCATTGATGATGCTGATGCTGTAGCTAATTTGTGAATATAGAACTCCCTTTTTAGAGCTGTATTTGGATAATCTGTAAATTGTATCATTTTTGAACAGTGTGCAAAAGTTGGTAGGACAATTAACCATGGAAACTCATGGTTATTACCTTGAGTGAACTCAAAAGGATCAGGTTTGAGTGGGTTATTGGTCCATTTATGATCATGGATATTATCCATGCTATTGTCCTACAGTAGTACAGATATAATCATGTGGTTAGGGCTAGAGATGCAGCCACCTGTGTGAAGTAGTACCCTTAATGAACAAGTACTAGAAAGTGTTGGCTGTAAGCCAGAAAGGGTCTCAATGTATGAGAAGAAATAGAATCTGGTATAACTGGGAATACCAGCAAGCCATGTAAGAAGTGGCAGCAATTAACTAGTAAATGCTGTGGGTGATGTTGACAGAATTAGAGAAAATGCCATCAAAGAGAAATACCATTGACAAGATAACAAATACCATGATGGCAATAGACAAAGACTGCACCACAGAAAAAGCGCATCATATACTAACACATATATACCAGGAATACTCTTCGGAAAGGCAAATAATCAAGGGATACCATTATAAACGCAGCCAACGATGACTTAGGTTATACAGCTATCCCACATAACTGCGATTTTTTATAACCATTATATATGCCGCAATATTATCACTTATAAACCCAATGAACAACAGCATAGCCTTATAGCCTGACCTGCAGGGGACTTGAGGTAATATCCATTGATCAATGTTCAAGCAGTTTACAAATGTATTGCGACAGATGGTCTTCTCTTATGAACACTTGCCAAGAAGAGGTTCTTCAGTACTCTCAATTCAATCATGGTCATAGACAGGCCAAGCAAATACATTATGAACTACAGTGAGACAATATTCAGTACAGTAATGTGAAGCAATACAAAGAGCAATACAGGTACAATGAGCAAGCGATTGAATGCAGTCAAAACGGGGCTTGAGGATATGCAGCAAAATAAACTTTAAGATGTCAATCAGAAATAGACTACAGCAATGAGTGAAAAAAACGTACAAGTCTAAGTGCCTTAGCATCAGTGTCTAGTTGGTTTCCATGGCATTATCATCATCGTATTCAAGGGTAGCATCTTCAATGGCAGCAGCAGTGGCAGCATTGACCCAGGCTTTAGCACGAGCCTCTCGACGAGCAGCCATCCTCACAACTGTGCTCTCGGGAGGGTGGATGTCCTCTGATTTGTCCGTGTCTGTACATCCGTTAGGGTCCCCAAACACTTGCCTAGATAATGTAAACTTGCGAACAACAAAGAGAGCATGCAGTACATACTCATTCCACCAAGTGAGAGTCTCGAGCGCCCACTCATCATCAGGGTGACTCTCAAACAAATCGACGATACTATTGTAGAAAACAGGAAGGTCGAATGCACCGTCTTGTTCAGTCCATCCATCCTTGGAAGATAAGGCATAGTGGCCCTATGTCAATTCATCAGTGCTGGTTGGTGGTAGGAAAATGAACTCACTTGACAGGCCACATAGGCAATTTGCCTACCCGTGACTGTGGATAGGCCATTGATCTTGGAAATACTGCCTCACTTGGGGCCATCTCACTTTGTTGGGTCGCCGTTGCTGCAAAAGATGTGTAGATATACCTGTGGTGGAAGGTTGGCAGTCAGACAAGATAACAGAAGAAAATGACATACATGCAAAAGGAGGAATCCTCTCATCAGCCTCTTTTCCTCATCCTCCGGGTCGTACAGAGCCTGGTCATACAGAAAAGAGGGCCATTCAGAGGCGGTAACTTTGACCTTTCCATTTGCTAGGTCGTAAAGAAAACGGTCACTGTATTCAATCAAGTAAGCATTTGTCTGAACAGAATAAGAAACATACCTTTTGTTAAATTTCTCGAGATAGATTTGGGGACAGAGAAGGTGCCCTGTATCTATATGGTTAAAGCCTTGTCCTGTCTTATGCGCTGGTTTTGGAAGTGTGAGAGCGTTGTTGACCAGGTCTTCGAGGCAGAGTGTCAGAATGTTGTACTGAACCTTGTTGGTGTCGGTGCCCCGAGATTCCTTTATGCCAAGATGAAACTAGGGGAGAGACAGAAGTAATATTCAATGAAAAAGCCCATAGGACTTACCTCTTTGATCATTGCGGTCATTCCAATCTCAGTCTTAGGAAAGCATCCTAGGGCCTCCCAGATCGTCATGCCATGCTCTAAGATTTCAGTGAGAATACTGAATGACTTCTCGTTCGGAGTAGTGTACGGAAGGTCCTTAATATCTATTTTCAGTCTAAGACTTTGTCAGTGATGATTAGCGGAGAAGAAACAAGTACACACACGATAGCCTTATTGGAGTGCTTGGCACCTGCCCACATAATATCGTCTACTGGAGTGAATAGTGATATGGTGCGAGGAATAAGCTTGCCAATTGTGTGACACATATTGAGGACCCAATTCTGTCTGAGAGGCAAAGAATTAGTGTGATATATGCACATATATCCTGTAAAATGCATGTACCTCTTGGAGTATCCATGGCGATACCTCTTCTTCCTAGGGCCCACTTGGTTCTTCTTGCGGCACTTCTGTCCAACTTTGTTGCCATCCTCATCATCATTACCACCCTCTCCTTCATTCTCACTCTTGCTCTCATCTCCAACATCATCCTCACTCCCGAATCCTAGCTCATTCGCACTCTCGTCACCCTCCTCGAAGTCTTGACCTTCATTCTCAGATACTTCTTGTGCATGATCCTCCAGGTCTTCAGGTTCGATAGCGTCAGATGTCTGAGGCATTGGAAACCATCGTCCGAGTGATTTGTTGGTATCCTTAGGTGCCAATACTCGTTGAAGAGGTACTGCCGCTCCCTGCTGGGCTTGTGGTTTTGGCACTGCATGGACTGGTCCCTTGCTTTGAGCTGATTTCGCCTGCGCTGTCTTGCTCGATGGCTTGATGTCCTTGGTTGATGACTTGACAACATTGCTCGATGGTTTGGTGGCCTTGTTCAATGGTTTGTCAGCCTTGCTGGAGGGCTTGATAGCCTTGCTGGAGGGCTTGGAGCGGGAGGAGGCAGGAACCACAGGCATAGCAGCAATGGGGGAAAGGAAGAAAGATTATTGAATGTGACTTTGTGATGCATCAGTCGCATCAGTCACAGCTGTCACAGTGACCGGCCAGTAGTCACAGCATGACTCTCCCGCTTGCACCTTGTGCACTCATCGTTGTTACTGTTGACGTGCACTGTAGCACGTTTTCGTGGGGCAGCACTTTATAGCAGGTATGTTTTAGCTTAAAACTACTATTCCCGTAAAATGTGGCTCACCATACTGCATTGCAGGTCATGCAGCCTTGGCGACACCCTCTTTTCTGGGTTCTCCTGATCTTTGCCATCAACATCATGGTATCCTACGTGTGCAATTCATGTGGAAAGTCAATGGCCAATAAAGCACACATCATCAATGGACACAAGTCAAGATGTACGAGGCATGCATCAAGAAACCGGAGTATTGCAGCGAGGCTGGGAGAGATTGGGGTAGTGAAGAAATGGTCGACTAGCAGTGGACAAGGGCTTCAGGGCTTGGCTCTACGGTCAAAGAAGGGTAAAAAACCGAGCTCATCAACCCGAGGAGACGATATTCCTATGACTGTGAGCATTGTTCTACCCTTTTTTCTTGTTAGATATTAATTTTCCGTGTTCTTACAGAGTAATACAGCTGTAATAGATGACGACATCGAAATAGAAGACCATGACATGCATCCACCACTGCCTGAACCAGAAGAAGAACCTGCGCAACCCGAATACTTGGAACGAGGCCAGCGAAACCGCATGATTCCCTGTCATTTTCAAGATTACCTTCCTGCAGCTTGTATTGCTCTCTTACAACAGTATGCTGCACTCAGACCACCAGCCCCTCCTCTACCAGCTGCTCCAGCAGTGATAGCTACTCACTCTCAGTCAACCTCTCATGCTTCTACACCCGAATCGCTGCCAGGCATTGAAACAGAACCAAACCTGTTTGGCCTCTATTGGCAATACAAGACTCTGCCTTCGTTTGACCCTGACGATGCTACAACCATCACAAATCTCTGTGACGCACCTACATTTGCCATACCTCCAGATACCCTACAGCAGCAATCGCCACTCAGTGTATATGGTGTGCACAGTCTAGAGCCAAATGCAGCTAATCTCTCCACCGAAACAGAAGCCCTAGACTCTGGACCATGGTTTGCGCCGTTCATGAATCCCACCATTGTTAGCCACTAACTCTATCGACTTAGATCGTACTAGGGTCGCTACTCGCACTTCGGTAGACGACGCTCTAGCAAGTCAAAGGTGATGAAAGTCGATGGGACAGATAGTCACAAAGGACGGAGTTCGATGTTAGGTAGATTAAACCTTAGCCGAAGCTGAGGTTTAGACCAGCTGAGGCTCTACTTAAATACAAATGGGTGTGCTAATAATAGTACTGTGAGAAACAGTCCGTGATGATCATTCTTGTGTAATCATGCTGAGTAAGAAAAAGAAAAAGAAAATGAATAATCCATAACATTACCCCCTCCCTAAGACTCGTTTGTCCTGAATGAGTTGTTTGAGTTCTCTCCGTCACTTGAGGTTGATTGTCGTGACTGTGAGTAGAAGGACCAGGTATCGGAGTCTGTGTCCTCATCCTCATCGGAGTCTGTGTCCCAATTTTCCCGTATACGCTCGAGGTTTTGGAGATTAACTTCTTCTTCCTCATCAGGGCAGTCGTCGGGAAGGTCAATGTTGTCAATAATTTCGGAAGGGGGATAAGAGTCTTGTTGGGCGTCGGAATGTTTCGGGTTCGTACAGTCAGATGAGTATACCGTTTGGATGTCGGTGACACATGGGGTGTCAGGATCATGGTATTCGACCGGCAAGTTACGAGGTATTTTGTCGTCGAATCCGATTGTTTTCCCCTTTTCGTTTACTGTCCACACGACTTTTCGAATTCGTGCTTCATAGTCGTTGACGAGCTCTTCGGCATTGGCCATGTCGGAACGCTTGACCCACGAATTCTCCTCTATTGGGTATCCTCTCCATTTCACCAAGTACTCGGTGATGGTACGACGGGTTCGCCCGCGGCCGACGGCGCGGTCTCTCTCCCCTACTATCTCCTCAATTTCGTACTCCTCCTCATCATCAATGAGCTCGGGAGGCAGTCGTTCAGGACATGGCTGGTCGGGAAACTCAGGGATGTGATATGGAGTGAGTAGGGACTCATTGAATCGATTGTGGATCCGCCATTTTGCGGGAAGTTTCAGCTCGTAGGCTGAAGCCCCCTTTTTGGCAACGATAGCAAATGGTCCTACTCGTCTATCCCCTAGTTTCTTCGTCGGGCAAGGGAGGTTGAGATGGGTAGAGTCTAGCCATACCCTGTCGCCGACTTGGTACTCCAAAGCCTTTCCTTTATGCTTGTCATATGCTTTCTTCATCGACAAAGCCGCTTGTTCTAGCGATTCCTTTGCTTTCTCCTGCACCTCCTGGATTCCTTCGACCAATTTGGACGCCGCTGGTACCATGTTTGGGTGTTGAGCAGTTTTAATAACTTGCCCGTCGCGCCCGAAGACAACTTTGTATGGAGAAAAGCCCGTAGCGGAATGCTTACGGTTGTTGTGGGTGAACGCGGCGAGTGGTAGCCATTCGCTCCAATCGTCTTGTTGGTAGCTGACGAACATTTTGAGATACTTTTCGATCTCCTGGTTGACCCTTTCTGTCTGTCCATCGGTCTGAGGGTGGTAAGCCGTCGAGGGATTCCCGGTCACCTGGAGGAGGGCGTAGAACTCTTTCATGAATTTCAATACAAAGACGGCACCCCTATCTGAGATGACTTTTTCTGGCATCACGCCGTATGGTACGTAGATGTAATCTCGCAGGATCTTGGCGAAGCCTAGGGATGAGAGTTCCTCAGTGCATGCAAGGGGTATGATGGTCTTTGAGAACCTGTCGACCAGGACAAGTATGGAGTCATTCCCTCTCGAGTCCAGAAGCTTGGTAATCATATTGACCAAGATGTGCGTCCATGGTCGGTCCGGGATTTCATTCGGGTGAAGGGGGGCCTTCCTGGGACGACGATCCGCCTTGGTCCTTTGGCAAACTTCACATCCTTTTACGTAGGCCTCCACTTCTGAACGCATCCGAGGCCACCAGTAGTCCCGTAAAATGAGTTCTTTCGTCTTCTCGATCCCTGGGTGTCCTGCCGTTACATGATCGTGGCGTAGGGCAATGATTTCGCCTCGTAGCTGCTTGTCTCGGGGTATATAAATACGCCCATCGTACCATAATAGATCCTGGACTCGGGAGATCCCCTTTTCGTGATTAAGGGAATCGGAGATGCCTCGGTCCCACTTACAGGGGTCATGAGTGGCCAGCTTGATCTTTTCGTGTAGCTCCTCCACGGTGGGCATGATAAGGGCTCTAAAGTGAGCAGGCTTCAGGACGATCACGTCTCTGTTGTCGTCCTTCCCCTGATCGTGATCCGCTCATCGGGACAATAAGTCAGCCTTGCGATTCTGGGCCCCAGGCTTATGGTGCAACGTGAACTGGTATTCGGCCAGCTCCGTCACCCACCGGGCTTGTTGTCGATTGAGCTTCTGGGGCTTTCGGAAATATTGAAGGTTGGAGTGATCAGTCCAGATTTCAAAATCCTCTCGTGCACCCATGAGGTATTGTCGCCATTCCTCTAACGCAATCATGATAGTGAGGAGCTCCTTGTCATAGATCTCATAATTGCGTTCCGTAACCGATAGTGCCTTGGAGAGAAAGGCCACCGGCCTCCACTTCTGCTCCTGCCATTGGGATAGTACCACACCAATTGCTCCCTCACTAGAGTCGGCCTCTACTCGGAACTTTCTGTCATCGAGCGGGATGGCTAGAACCACATCCTCACGGAATAATTCCTTGATCCTCTTGAATGCCTGTTGCTGAGCTTCTCCCCATTTCCACTCCACTTTTCCCGTAAGGGCCGTAAGGGGCCTGACGTGCTTGCTGTAATCATGGATAAATCGTCGGTAAAAATTGCAAAAGCCTAAGAAGGACTGTAGCTCTTGTTTCTTTGTTGGAACAGGCCAGTCCAACAGGCCGGCAATCTTGACGGGGTCCATGCGAATTCTTCCTTCGCTGATGAGTACGCCCAAGTACTCCGTTTCTTCTACTTCAAATTCGCATTTCTCCGCTTTGAGAAATAGCTTGTGCTCACGGAGAATCCGGAGTACCTCTCGTATGATGCGATAAGGATGTCGTCAAGGTAGACGGACACCTCCCCAGCGGTGATAAGATTCTTGAAAATGTCGTTCATCATCCACTGGAAGGTGGCCGGCGAGTTCGTGAGCCCAAAGAACATCACTAGGGGTTCATAGAGACCGCGATTGGTTCAAAAAGCAGCCTTCCACTCATCCCCTTGCTTTATTCGGACATTGTTATATCCCCACCGTATGTCCAACTTGGTGAAATACTTGGCCTTTTTCAGCCAGTCCATGAGTTCCCCGATAAGTGGCAACGGGTACCGATTTTTGATGGTCATCTCATTGAGTTTTCGATAGTCCTGGACCGGACGGAGCTTGCCGTCTTTCTTTTTGACGAAGAAAAACGGAGAGGCCATTGGGGACTTGGAGGCCTGAATGCACCCAGTGGACAAGTTCTCATCCAAAAACTTGTCCAGCTCCTCCTGCTCAGTGGGATTGAGAGGGTAGACTTTGCAGTCTAGATTGGCATTGGCATTGGGGATTAACTCGATGGCATGGTCCCACGGTTTCCGTGGGGGTAACTCATCAAAGTTCTCCTTAGCGAATACGTCCTCGAAGTCCCTGTACTCGGTGGGTACTATCTCTTCAAAGGACTTCGTTCCCTTACGAGCGTTGGCCTGGGCAGCTAACTCATTGGCTTTAGTACCCATTGCTCGTACATGGAACGCTTCTTCAAAATCGACCACTAAAATCGTGTCCCCTTCCTCATACTCATCCCATCAGGACGAGGGGTCCGTATCAGGGAGGTAGAAGGGTATCTTTCGGCACGTGCAGCGGGCCAAGGTGACCGCCCCAGTGTCCCAGTCGATCAGCGGGTTATGCCTCTGTAACCAATCGTGTCCGAGGAACAGGGGGGTGGAGCCCAGATCTACTACGGCTAGTTCGATCCGCTCCACGTGGTCCCCGATGCGTAGCCATACCTCAGCATACTCGGTGATGTCCCCACCTTTGTTTCGGGTGCCATCAGCGTTATAAACCGGGATGGGCCGGGCCGCCTTTTTGAGGTTGAGGGCGTGTTTCTGAGCCCAGGCACGGTCTATGGAACTGCCGGTGGCTCCACTGTCCACTAGCGCCTTCACCGCATGCACCTCTCGGGTGTCTAGGGTTTCCAATTGTACGGTAATTGATACATTGCGTCCTTTTCTCCCTCGTATGTACATGGGTGGCTTCGTGAGATCCTCCATCCACTCCCACTTACTTCTGGCTTCTGCGGCCGTCTCGGGCTGCTCTCGGAGTGCCTCCCATAGCTCTACCGTTACTTCTTCCTTGCGTCGAGGGTGCACCCATCGGTTAAGGGTGGCGAAGGCGGCCGACTCGTTAGTAGCGAGTCGCAGGGCCCTTCGGGTCCATCGCAGCCCGAAAGGCTCGTAGTACGCGTCTGGAATGGGCTTCTGTTCCTCGACTCGTGGGGTAACGTTAGGGGTCACAGGAGACTTCCCTCGTGGCAGGCAGACGGGAATGTCGGACCGTAGATGGGCTTCCTCATCCTCGACTTCTTCCACCGAAACGTGGGATTTCGTACTCATGAGTGGCATTTGGTCACCGGGCCGGTCGATAGGGCCCCTCGGCGGCACTTGGTCACCTTCCGATGAGTTGGTGGAGGAGGGCTCGCTGCCCTGTGTTCGGCCCTGGCCAAGGGCGTTTGCGCGCGGCGTTGTAACCTCCACGGTGATTCCGTACTTAACCTCATTCCTAACACCGGCGGTACTCTTGGAAACTCGAGGCAGACGCACACATATTGGCTCGTCAAGGGGGTCGGCATCGTTTGCGGATGAGTCCACTACTAAATGTAGGTGGTCCCCTTGAGTCCTGGCCTCAGCTGCTTTTCTGCCACTGATGAGAGGAACAACCTGGCCTACATATGGACAGGAAGGCCCTGTCGTCAGAGTCGTCGGCCGATTCTCCCTGCCGGGGCGACGACTACCACGTCTGGCATCCATCTTGTCCTGACCTGAGGCGCTCGCTGGGTACTCCAGAGCTTTCCCCGTTCGGTCAGGCGGG